ACACCGCAAGGCTGTGACTCCAACTTTATTTCTGATTCATAGTTGTTGTTGCTAATGCTTTTTCTTAAGCCATTCAAAATACGGTCAAATACTGCTGTTCGCGAGACAAAGACGTAATTCATGCTCTTTACCTAATTGTCTTTTTTTGCGTCAAACCCAAAAAACTTTTATTTTACAGATAACCTTTTCTTCCTACCACTATTTTAACAAAGTCACTCTAGATGAATTTATTGTGTGTAATAAGTAAATTGTAAGGATATTGTGTTTTTTTACATTTAGTCGCAGTTTTTGGTTTTTATTGTGCTTGTTAGATTTCTATGATTGCTGCATATTAGTGTACTCTCTCTCATTTTCATTTTATTATACTTTAGGCGGAAACTTATCGACCATATTATGAAAACTTTCGAAATACCGCCTGATGAAGACTTTATCTTTAAAAATAAGATTGTCACTGAATTGAAATTATGTCTGCACAACCGCCAAGACGTCCTATGTTATCTCTTCGATGGCGTTCCATACGTGTTTGAGCATGAATCACGTCTATTTCCCACGGGTAATTCTTATTCTTTAATTCAATCGACATTTTAGTCTTCATTCTCTCCTTATTATCCGTTTGTAACGTGCCCTTGGTGTACACTTTCGAAAGTGTAATGAATCGCATATATGGCGGTTCTGGTTTGTGTGCAATTTTTGACATAATGCCTTAATTAGATTTAATGCTTCCTGGCGTAATCAAGGATGGGCCTTTCGCAGATTCTTTAAGCCGCCTTCAAAAGTCAGCTGTGTGCTCTGTCGCCACAATTTCTGGCAGTTCACCGGCATTTCGGCGTTCCAAGCCGCTTGCTGTTGGCATTTGTAACCTCGACGTTGCTGAAGCAACGGCTTCTTTTGCCAAGGGCAAACTTGTTCTAATCCTTCATACAGCAGGAGATAAGCTCTTGTAATTTATTTTTTCTGTCACACAAAATGTCGAAAACACCGAAACGTTGAATACAATTCCCGATATTTTTGTTACCCACTAATCATTATACAAGTATGTATAACGGTTACTCGCTTTAGCCATCATGATTACACCTAAACGGCAACACACCATACACACTTTACGAGACACCGCTTTGTTGATAAAATGCGATGGCTTGCATTTAAAACTGGTCCACTCGTCTATTACTTTTGACGTAAACTTCGTGGGTTTAATCATTGGCCGAAATGCCGAATCGCTCATCCCTTTGCCGAAAGTGACTGATCAAACTTGACCATTGTCCTATTTGAAACTTACGTCATTAAAATCCGTTTGTAACAAACCTTATGATCCCCTTGTAAGTATCAACTAAACTTCTCACCTTATTGAAATTTCGAAAGTTTGGGCATCCAAGTACCATCGACTGTATCTGTATACACCCCGTACCTTGTCGTTAGCAAATTTTTTTCTCTTTGTTTCTGCGGTAGTGAACTTTGTCCGCCCCACATTCTACCATCTTTCAAACTTGGAGACGCGGCGGAACTGAAGTTTGGCGATTCACAGATCCCCGTGGAGCTGTCTACCGTAATTTCCGATGACTTATCTTCCGATCACCTAGACATCGAACAGCTATCACGTAGGTCATGTAGCAGCGTACTTAGCAGGTCTTGCTGCGCCAATTCGGTCTAAAATCGTTACTAAACACACGCCTTTTTGCCCTTCTTGGTTTTAGAGGCTTGTGGGGATGCGTCTGTTGCCTCGGCAGAGCCCACATCAGACGAACTGCTTATGACCTGCTTTGTTTACGCTCTAAGTCTGTTGAAACCAACAGACTTGCCTCTTACCGTTAATGTTTTCTACGCCAAGTACATGAAGACTGAGTGGTAGGTCCTAGGCTGCGCTTTGTTTATTCGTGTTTGTTCTTCTTTGAGAATAGCCCCGACGGGTCGAAACTGGACATTAAAAAGACATCCTACAAAAAGGTGAGCTAATCTCATCTCTGGTTTCGTTTTTTTGTGGCTCATTAGGCTCACTATCTACCTTCTTTCCTTCTCTTTCCTATGGAGTCTCGCTGGATTAAGTTAGAAACAAGCGTGCTTTGGGGTTGTCTAGTATTTTGACCAGTGCAATGTTGTTATCGTGATAGTGGACATGTCAAAAGCAAACACTAACTCGTGTGTTTCGTCTAAAAATCGTGTTGTTTTTTGTCTCAGGTTGGTGTCTTTCTTGAGAAGATGGCGGAAGATGGTCTAATCGAGCTGGAACGAGTTGGCGAGGGTATTGTACGTTTGACGGCTTTCCACAATGACCACCCCACGTACGTCAGTTCAATCCTACCTGAGGGTTTTCACGTGACCAGCCTGGCGTTCTGGCTTTCCATCTTAACCGCCTTTTAAATGCTCGTGTTCTGTTTGCAGGTTCAAGGAATTGTCTCAAAACATGCCTCAGTTGGCGGCAAAAGCCGACGAAGCCGATGTGGAATCGACCTACTCGAAGTCCGCCGTAGGCAACTTCTATTTTGGACCTCCAGTTCTTGAAGAAGTTCGATATATCACCTCCAAGGTCGCGCCTTTTTTCGCCGCCTCCGGCTACAGGTTGGTTCTCTCGCTTCCTCTGTGCCCTCTTCGGCCAAAGCATCGTGATCGGAATTACTGTTTATATAAGTTTGCCTGATTATTTTGGCGTCTCTCGCTCGGTAGAGATGCTCACGTCGTCGTAGACTTCACGACTCAAATTCAAATTCGCATATGGTGCCGAAAATGTAGGGGCAATATGTAGGGTACCAGCACTGTTGAAGAATATCAAACGCAGTTTTTTTGTTGTTTGTTGATCATCTGCTCTTCTTTATAGCTCTGGTGATGTCATCGCACAAGCGGAAATTTGTCGTCTTGCTGGAGCCTACATCGACTCGAAGATGCTGCGGAGTAGTGAAGACCGAAGGTCAGTCTCCTTGCCCCTCAACTGATTGGTTAAAAGCCAATTGAAACCTTGTCCGTGCTGCCCAAACCTGCCTCTCTTCCGTCTTTGAAGTCTCCTCAACCTGGACGCTCTGCTAACGCGTGTCTGTGATCCAAATCTCCTGAGAGAAGCACCCACCAGCACCCTCGGCAACCCGTGCTTCCAGATCACCTTCCAGGACCTGATCACCTCGCTGACGAAGGGCCTAAACGTCGCCTTTAGGCTAATCTACCCGCCACAAAGTGGTCTCAAGCCCCTCACTACTCAAAAGCCTCCGAAACTGAAGATATCCGAGGCCAAGCAAAACGGCAAAGATGTTGTATGTAATTGGCGGACTAAATGTCTTTATATTCGCCGTCAAATGCGCCATAAGCATGCACCCTTTCAGACGCGCGTTGGGAATCTGGCCGACTTCGGTATCAACCCCAAGTCCTTCGCTCGGTACGTCCAAACGAAGTTAGCATGTTCCGCTAGCCTCATCGATGACCCGACTTGTCGAAATGCAGTCGTCGTTCAAGCCCAAGGTAGTCATCGCATCGCCTTGTCGAAGATGCTAACGGGTGCGTTTTGAGTATTCATGTCCACCCAATCACATTATTGCTGCTGCTGCTGTTGTTGTTGGTATTAATTCCTGCCTTCTGTTCTGATTGTAGAAACCTTTGGTCTTTCAAAAAACTGGATTGATGGTTATGTGGAGCCGAAAAAGACCAAGGCCAAGGGTGGTCGAAAAGGATGTTGATGTGTCGCTATTCTCGGTAAAGCGAATACAGCCTCACATCTTTGTCTAAGCACCTTTTTTTGCAATTTCGGTTTCAATGGGTCTGGTCGGCGTTTGGACTTAGAGTTTAGTTAAATTTGTTCTTCACAGCCACGCAGCCGGACTCCAGTCGCTTTGAATTCGTGTTTGGCGGGATCACAAGGAGGCCTGACTAATCGATATGGGGCGGTTCAAATTGGTCTGCAGCAAACATGCCAAGAGGGCGAGAGAGAGTCGACAGGAAGGAGGTCATTGTTGATGGAGACGACGATGAGGATATTCAAGTAGGCGTGGAATTTGTTAGCACGCCGTTCACCTTGTAGGCGCAAGAATTGATTGAGAATTTCCAGAAGACACTGCTGAAAATGACTGACAAGGTCAGCAGCAAGAATATCCTTTTTTGTCCGATTTTGTGAACCGTTATGTCCCCTAGTTGAGTAGAATAAGCCCTTAACTTGGCTGATTGCACTTAATCACATAGACAAGCACTTGGCTGACTTGGAGGAGATGACGAAGGAGGTGCTGAATCGAAAGGAAGATCCAGTTCGGAAGTGAAATTTGTGGTAACTCGGCTACATTTTTAAACCTCATTAGCATATTGGTAGAATAAATTACGCTAAAATAGCCAAAAATAGCCAAATTCTGGCTAAAAATCAGCAGAATATTCGATGAATTCGCTCTCGTAGTTGTGGAAGGTCGTTTCTGGGAAGTGGCAACATGCCATTATCAAAAATTGACTTGTTAGGGCGTCCGTAGAGCCAGCTGAGATGTTGTGGGTGTTTATTTAGTAAGACAAACCCCGGACAGGGGGTAGATGGGCATTCTCTTGAGGGGGCATTTTAATCAACAATAATTTGTCTTCACTGGTTAAATTCTAGGCCATAAAAGGTAACCCAGTCATGTTAAGCCGACGTTAACACAAGAACGAGACTAACCCTTATTTTCTCAGGGTTTAGTCTAATGAGGAAAATTACTAGCCAATGAGTGAAAACAATGGGTCAGAAGTGTAGATTAACCCAGTTAGAGATCAAAAAAACCATTCAAACTCACATGGCTAGGTAATTCGTTGATCTCGTTGTGAGCCAGTATGTCTACCCTCTTACGGCGCTACAACATTGGTTAACTTGAGACAACAATAACAAATAAATTTTCGATTATTAAACCCAACTGGGCTGTTGTGACTGTGTGTAAAATTATTGACGAGTGAGAACAAGTTGCAAGCGTGAACTACCAAAGATTCAGTCGAAGAGCTTAAATGCACTTTTCGCCACAATATTCATTTGACCAATCATTTATCTGTAAGCGTTTAATTGGTCTAATAAAGAAAATCCCCGCTGCAATTATTTCAATCAGTTTGATTAAAATAGTGTTACCATCCACGAAATGATTTTACAAGCAATGATATGAGCCAGTTAGTTTAGTGTCCTCAAAAACACATAGACATGTAAAATAAATCTTGTGTTTATTTTCAGACAAGCATTTCAAAAGTGCTTTTAAATACGTATTTTAATGCTAAAATCACAATTTATCGGATTATACAAAAACCTCCCAGATAGTTCAATATCAGTTTCTTTTTTATACACAGCTTTACTCTAGAAATTATCATGGGATGGTATAACTGCATTCTCATATATTTTCCAAAAAATGTGAACTTTACTTCATTGACTTCACAACTTTAATAGTATTGGTTGTTACTGAATTTTTACATTGCTAACAAGTAAATACAACTTGCTTTAACAATAATTTAAAGTATCCACAAATTACAACGTTTAATGCTGTAACTGTATAATATATTTAGTCAAGAGATAAATCGACGCTTCCAGTACAATATATGCTATTTAATTAAATAAACATTTCGGGTTAATAAAGGCACCTAACGGATGCCTATTTTGTGTTTTCCGCAAAGTTTTAATTGAATCAAAGTCCGCCGTCTACAGTTTTATTATAATAAACAATTATCAAACGAAGCAGACAACATTTAAATTTCGACTTTTCTGTTTGTGGCAGATAGTGTCTCGATTTTTTTAAACAAAACTCTATGGTTTCCTATTAAATATGTAATCTAAATCCCTAGAAATGTCGACAAAAAAGCATTCCATTGACTTTTAACTCATTGAAAGAGATTTCCTGGCAGCGCTATCACAATAAAAAATGTTTTTTTTAGCAAGTAAAATTCTAATGCTTGATTTTACCATTTACTAGGACATTTGTGTACTATTTTTTTTAAAATTTGGCAATTGTGAGAAAAATTTTCACATCAACTAAAGTCTAGAGGGCACTTCAAATACGCAGCTGGCTTGTAAAAATGGATCAAATAGAAAAACTTAGCAAGAACTATGGCATCTAGCAAAATGATAGTCAAAAAATTTAGAATTAAAACTTTCCGTACCATAATAAATTATCGGTCTGTGAATTCACAGAATTGCGAGTGTAGGGACACATTTGGAAAATGAAATTAATATTGTTATCTTTAACGATAATTCAAAAACAAATGTTGACATTCCACAATTTAGCGTTGCTATCAAAGTCGATTTTTATCATTTGTAATTAAATTAATCGCCAGGCCAGCCATTTCATTCTGTGACGTGTTTTTGCAAGGGAATTAAATTACTTACTACTACCCTCTTTTAAAAAATATTGCCACATGCATTTTTTGCAATTTTTTTGTAAATTATTTTTCTTTTTTGCACTAAAAAATTCGTATTGGTAAATAAACTCAAATGCTATCACCGATATGCAATATTAATTCTTTTTTCTATGACGTGCATTAGAAATTTATAGAAAATCTTCTAATTGTTTGTGTAAAAGTCAACAACACAAAATTTAATAATGGCCCTTTATTTTAAGTTACCTCCAACTCTAAAACATGAATATTTTTTATTTTTTGATCATAGTTCATACGTTGAATTTTAGACATTAGTTACGGAGTAACTATATTTGGCAACAGGAACTATTGGGGTTAAAGAACCGTAACTTGTAAAAAGTACTGATTTTTGCATCTAAAAGATTACTTTAGCTAATATTTAAGCATAAAGAATCATAACTACATTTGGCTGCAGTGTTGATTAGTCATGCGCTTTGAGGGCCCGGTAAATTTATTTGTGTGTGTTTGTGCTTAATTGCTGAAATGAAGTTTGAGCGACTCTTTCGGAGTTTCCTTAGGACTCTACGTCCGCCTACTCTTAAAGTTCCCGACGCTGTTAGTTCTGGCGCTATTAAAACTCATACCGGACAGGTAATATCTAATACGTGTCCTGTCGTTACTGCTTTTTCCAGACCTTTGACAAGTCTGATTATCGTGCAGCAAGATTCATGCAATCTACAAAGCTCGTAAGTTATATATTTTGCCGATACAAATACTTATTATCTGATGTTTTTATATTTTCATAGGGTATCAATCTCCGTTGTAATGTTTTAAGTTAGTTAACTCTATCCAGAGCTCTCTCATAGATTCGCTTTTTACACTTTATTAATTTTTTTTCGTGTTGTAGGCAGTGTAATTGTGAAACGTTTGGGGTTTTTATTCAACATGTTTAATGTATAAAATGAAGTGCATCCTAGAGAATTACGAGATATGCATTTTAGCTGGTTAAAAGTTTGAATTTTTCATGCAAGCAGCAAACTTAGTGTCCCTGCTAACCCCTCGGAATTTTTTTTAATAATTGGCACTTCGACAGTGCATCTTTTAATCGGTATTATCATTACCGTAGGATACTCCATTTCGTAATAAGCCACTTTCGGCCCTTAACTTTCGTCTCACATAACCTTGTGTGGTAACGAAGAATTTGTTATTTCGTGTAATTTGTGTAATCTTATTAGTGCACAACCTAAACCAGCCGGACCTTTCGTAGTTGATTCACTAGCTACTTCACTACTGTGCAGGTATAATCGCAAAACTCTTATGGACAGTCCAAATGCTAAAAATGTGCTCTAAATCGTGTTACGTGCAATCGTTCTTTAATTCATGCTACTAACTTTTTCTGACAGGTTAACAAGAATTTCGCCATGGAGCTGATCGAAAAGGTGCCCCCAAAGAAGGTTGCCGACCGCATTGTCGCTTGCGACGGTGGAAATGGTGCCCTGGGCCACCCCAAAGTCTACATCAATCTGGTACGTCATTTGTCATCTGATTTTCGCAAACACCTCACATCTCATCATGTCTGGGCATTACTTTCTATCTTGCAATTAAAAAACCCAAACATTTTCGTTTTTAGGACAAACCCGGCCCCCACACGTGCGGTTACTGCGGCCTTCGATATGAACAAGTACACAGTCACTAGTTGCTTGATGTGATTTAGCTGCACCCTAGATCTTACGCCGCACCCGTGTACTAATTCTACTCAATACATGCGCTCTGCTTCTACTTTTGTTAAAAACAGAAACTGAGGAGGTTCGAATAGGTTTTTATTTACTGGAACAAGTGTATGTGCATATTTACAGCGTAATGAAAGACTGGCCTAATCTCTGAATCCTCCTAATCACTCACTATCGCCGTAAGCAACGAGGCTCTCATTTGGCGGTTGGGAATTTGCCATCGAATCACTTTGTTCGGCGTTTGGAGTTTCGTTTGCGGAGCTAGAAACCTTTCGCACGCTCCCCGATTGTATTGCTCGAGACAATGACTCATGGTGTAACGCTGCCCCGTTAGACGAACTCCCTGAGACCTGAAAAGCGTTTGCCCGTTTCTCAAGGTAGTGAGATTTGGCGAGTTGCTTGGCTAAACCGACTGTAGGGGTGTCGGTCGACTTTCGTTTTGGTGCAGAAGAGGAAGACAGGTTGGATGCTATTAGAGGTTCGTGCTTGTCGTGTGCTTGCTCGTTGGTACGATCTGGTGGTCAAAAGTGAACTCGTGAGAAAGCGCTGATTTCGTATAAATTTAATGTACAACTGCAAACGTACTGTTACGAAGCAGTCTCATTAATCTCGCCTTTTTAGCGTCCTCGTCTGTTTCTGGCAAGATAGTTACTTGGCTTCCCGTTAGAGACAACCTGGATTTTAGGGCCTCGTCTTTGGCGTTCGCGGCATTATGAATTTTCTTAGCTTCCTAAAACAAATATTGCATAAGACGAAATGAGCAGTTGGCTTCGAGCTTTAGCAATTAGTCCAGATATCTTAACTCACCCTAAACTGTTTTCTAGCTAGATAGTTTAACGCAAAGTCATCCTTTAACACCTCCCGACTCGACTCGAGCTCAGAAATTATTGAATGCGATTTCGCAGCCTTCTCCTTATCTTTGACATCGTGTTCGACCTGGTACATGGCGTCTAAGGTCATTTTTTGCTTTTCCTTATAGTCTAAGCAAATAAAGGTTTTATGTAAAAGTAGCAGGTGGTCGGGGCCGCACCAAGGTTAACGGAGGTATTACTAACCCGGCACCACAATCTGCTCGTTTTCTTCTGCGTCCCATGTTTGAACTTTTCGACGAATACCTTCCACGCAGATGTAATCAAAGTTCTGTGGGTCGGTTTGCATGACAATTCGGCCTGCGCACATGGCACAGTTCATGGAGAATTGAAAAACTGGTGTCGAATGATACATTCCAACCTTCTTCTTCTCCGCATTATACCTGACACCCATACCAATGGGTTTTTTACAAGAAAGGCACCAGGCATTGTAAGGCATCTCAAAACGAATGATGATAATGCCTTTGTCGGCCTTTCGGCCGCGTTCTCGTAAAGCATGAACTCCATGGTAGGCATTGAGGCTCCTGTGTTTTGACGGATCAAAATCAGGAGGGTAGTATTTGTTAGTTCCTTTTCTTTCACCCTAAACCGTTTCATCGGTATACAAATTATACGAACCATTACGGAGGGACGAACGCACACGAAATAGAAGTTACCGGGTTTACGGGATTCGTTAAAACAATAACAGTGATCTTACAAGAAGTGTGTTATACGTGCCTAATACTTTGTGTGTACATTTTAAACTATTTATTCTGTAGCTTTTTCTATTATTTTACTTTTTTTAAAGTTTTTAATGGCTTTTAGTAGTGTGCACGTCTCTAAGGGGAAGTACCTCAAAGAATTTGTGTTTGTTGAACTGATCGTTTCCTGAAATTTTTTTCATTCGACATTAATTAAAATGTCTATTTTTTGTTTCCAATGTATATAGTCGCTAAATTTGAATAAGATGTAAGAGGAACATCCTTCTGTTTCTTTAATTGATGTTTTTGTAAAGCACAAAGTTGTTTTAGATTTTTGTGCAATTTGCGTTCAATCTCTAAAATCAAGAACTACAGCCAATGACATTTAGTAACATATGTCCTTCATATAGCCTCTTATAAATTTACTTCAAGCCAACTATTCTTATCTCATGCTGATTGTGTGTATGTGGGTGCTAAATATTTTTTACCAGCTTCAACCCATTCCTCTTTAGGGGACGCGATTTTCAGCTAATGAAGACGTAAAGACACTAACCCAACCACATTTGACATCTCATTCACCTTTAAAAAGGAAATGTAGACAAAAAATTAGGAAAACAGTTGACACAGCATGAGGTGCATTTGCATTGAATTGGTACCTCCTCAGTTGCTTGTTTTGATGTGCAATGTTTGTTTTTCGCTAACTCACCGCCTTCGCACTTTAATAAACAGTCAAGTGGCCAGGTATAGACAGCAATTAAAGTTTTAACTTGATGAATGTCTCGTCAGATTTCAGAGAACCGTCAAATCCCACATTAATTTGACATTTTTTGTCAAATAATTTTACACAGTGCAAATTACAATTTAAGATAAAGCTGATTCGTTACGGACAGCATGTCGATCAAAGCTATGCGTCAAATATCAATTAGTCTAGTTGGCCATGATCAATAGGATGAATAGACCTTGAACTGCTCCGCTGAATAATGCTGAGACTTTAAGAAAATCGTGAATGCAATTTTGCACCACGTATAATCCAAGAAAGTAAACATAGGACAATAATAAAAGGACATATACATAAATATCCCGCGTTTAATGGACCTTGACATCATTTATTCAAGCATAACTGTAAAAACGAACTCTAATCTCGCTTTCCAAAGCGTCATCATGTTAATAAAATCACTCACTATAGAATGGTATTCAACTAAGTAGATAATAAATTATCTACAGTTATATTTTTAAATCATCACGTTATCTTAACAAACACTTTCAAATCCTACAGCTAAATGCTTAAGAGTTCGTGTGCAGTAAAGTAAGCCCAGAAGCATCTGACAGTTGTGTGGTTATTATGTTTACAAAGTGTTCGTTTTATACGTGCTGTTTTAGAATGTATGACTACGGATCTAAATTGTCGCACAATTTAATGTGCAACTACCGAATTTAAACACTCAAACTTTTGAGTGGAATAGGATTATTAAATGCAAATTGAGTGCCTCCAAAATCCCAGAAACATCCAAGAACAAATGGCCAGAACAACTTCAATAATAGCTGATGCCGCATATGTAGAGGTTTGGGTTTCTCACGCTAGTATGAGAAAAACTGGTATTGTGACGCAATATGGCCTTCTATGTAGTACTGATTCTCTATCTTCGTTTCTAATTGGCTGCTAATCTTCAACGTAAGCCCCTGGGGATTGGCTTTGATCAGCGTGATCCAATATGTCTGCTTCCTTTATCGAGTTGCCACATTGTTGCATAGTTTAGGAAAGCCAGAGACAGCAGAGACAGTACAACATATTAACCAATTAAACTCAACCAATTTGTTGTGTTCATTTGCATTTAGTATTATCCTTACATGCTTTGGAGTAAAGGTGTTAATCAAGAGACGATCTTTTGATATTGATATCTAAACAGCAAATAGATTTATACAGCCAGTATTGACGCCAAATTTGCTAATTTCACCCAACTCAATAGGGTAATACTGATTAAAAATGACGAGTAATTGATTTTGATCTTGCAGTATTATGGAGGTATTTGATAAAATAAGCAGATAGGTTTTCAAACTGATATCGACTAAAATTTTAATTATATCGATCGTTTCGATTAGCCCCCTTCTTGCTGATTAGCTTCAAATCTACGTTAAATTATAGCAAAAGTTCACACCTAATTAAAACTGAATTTGATACTACGCAATTTCATAAAAGTAGTACTTTTGATAAGTAATATACTCAGCACCACTAACAAAAACTGCTCCTCAACACTTTGCAAGTTTTGAACTTCGCTCTCGTGTAAACTTCGTGATTATTCTTTAAAGAAAGTCACAAAATAGTTCATTAACTTCTTCCAGAATCTGGTGAATGATATGTGGCCTAGCGTTGTCATGGTGTAAGTTAATGCATTACCTATTGACCTTGTTTGTGCATCTTCCTTGAATTTCGAAATGTTGGTTGTTTATTCATGTGAAAATCCCCACTGAGACGGCTGTCTGCAAGTGGTGTCAGCGTGAATGGAACTAGAGACTGACCAATGGGAAGTGAGATTGCGGAAGCGGCAGCTTGTCTGGAAATTCTAGGTTGAGTTTGACTAGAAAAAGACGCCAACTTTCGAGGAAGGTGATCACGAGTTGTTCCACGACGACCGGAGTCACAGCGTCTTGGTGGTTTCTGTGAAAATCCGCAGTGTCGGAAGGCTGAGCTCATAAAATAATGAAAATTTTGGTATACTCCATAAAACTTGACGCCATATTGTCTTTTTACAAAGTGACATTAACTGCATGATGAGAGGATGAAGTAAAACTAGTAAAGAAACCCCGTTGGTTGCAAAAAAATCTTAGAAGACATTGCTATTGGAGGATTCCCTACACTTTGACTTTCCAAATTTTGCAGTATCAATTGAACGACATGTGATCTCTGCGTTATCATGGTAAAAGATTATTTCTGCGTCATTGACCGAATTCGTTTGCTTTGTGTTGTCCACATAACTTCTCCTCGCAGTTGATGTTTGGCTACGTTTTGTAAAACATGCGAAATTTACTCTAGTTGCTATCAATAAAAAAAATTAAAGCTCAATTGTCGAGGTTTACTTACACAACAATCTCTTCAGCGGCGATCAGTGGACCCCTATTTAAGGATTCCCAAATTAGGTCATTTGTAGTCTAAATTAACTTGAATTTTTTTAAAACTACAACTTGTAATTTAAAACAAAGCACAACATGTGTGTTTTTTTTTAATTTTGCCTTTTAGACATTGATCTCGCACACACATTTATCAAAGTAAGCTTGTTTGAGGTGACGCTGGGCAGCAGGGCATTTCGATAACTGTCAGTTAATAAATCGCTTATAAAAGAGTCATTAGTATCAACATCATCATCATTATCATCACAGACAGAGGTGCATGCCTTTGCCTCAGCCACTTACATTCAGCCAACCCGATCTGTAACCCGGCGATTGTTTTAAAGCTATTGAGTGTCTTTGCAGACAATCAAATGTGCCTCGTAGCAGCATTCCCTGGAGCTAAATCTATTTAGACCTCTCCGTCATTTATCCGAAACGGCAAAATGCCTTGCCTGGTTCGCACCCAAGGCAATGTCATTTATTATCTCGGCTGTTGTGCCGCTATTTCCATTGTTGTTTTAAAGATCAATTAGCTACAAAGGCCTTGGTGATGTTGCCAGAGAAATAACAAATATATTTAGAAAAATCTGGTCGCTTGCTTAATCTTTCTTGAAGTAAAAAGAAATTCTCCAATCAAATGATCGCAGCCATTGAAGTTACAAGGTTACACGCATGAGTGAGGCCAATTATGTTATCGATTTTTATCCGTCTTACATTAGTATAGGAGCAAAGTAGTTTTATGAGTGACAAATTGGTTTATTTAAAACCTAAAACCTAAGCACAAGTAAATAATTGCGTCAATTTTAGCGAAAATGGGAGTTAAAATATCTTGGGGCAAGATCTCCAAAGAGGTTTCTTTAAAATTGCTAATTTCATTTTTAGTAGAAATTATTTTAGGTATTCCGCCTTAAAAGTTCAATGGCCTTGAAAAACTCCTTCTATTGGCCAAGCTGTCACCTTTTGTAAAGGAAGCCAGCACCGCAGCTGTTGTTTGTGTTGTTGTTTGTAAGGAGTTTGCAAACTTAACCAAATCTCGTATTTTCATCTGGAAATTCCCCACAGAGACATCTTCACCAGAGAAATTGGTTTTGTGTGTAAATTTACATTTCCAGGCAACACATTTATTTTTGCATGCTTTTGGTTGATGCATAATTCTCAACTAGTATGAACAACGCACCACTAGACCTGTTCATTTTGTTTTGTAAGATATGAAAATGATTTCTACAAAAAAGGACCGATTAGGCTTCGGTTTTTGATTGCCGGTTATTGGTTATATTAGTTTTGATGTAGCGCACATGATATAGTTCTAAATAGTTCACTTTCTTACGATACTCAAATATGATCCACTTAGATTCCTTCTCTAAAAGTATAGTCAAGGTCAAAATGACATCAAGTGAAGCTCAATTTTAAACAAATTACCACAAAAATCAATATTCTCTGTTATCCATAAAAGCGAGAAGATAGGAGTATGGCGTTATCCACATTTTGTTGCGAAATCCTTGAAATTTTCGGGTAACACAAGGTTATCCTGCCATTTTTACACGAAACTAATTTTCACAATGGATACCACTTAAATTTCATTGATTCAAACAAACATCAGTCTGACGCATAAGTGAAATCGGGGTAAAATGATTTAGCGACTGAAGCTATTAACCTTCTCTGGTGCAAATTTTCATGTAATTTTGCTCGTTTTCCATCACTGCCCGGTGGATTCTGTCTTGGAGACAGTGGATCGATTAAAAGCAAGTATTTATCATCAAAACTGGCAAGAATTATTGATCTTCGATAGAATTGAAGCTAAAAACGAGGGTCAGAACGTGCGGGCAACAACGACATTAGATGAGGTTGTCGTTAAGCGTATTATTCCTGTGAATGAGTGAACTTTCACGATTCTGGTGAATACGTCGATGACAAAAAAAGTTTTTCGTCACAGTTCATTGGTCGAGGCGGAATATAAAAGTGGAAAATCCGTTCTGCTCTGCCCTGCCTTATTTGTTGGAGAATCACCCAACTATCAACCGTGGCGTCTACGACAACAATCATCAATGTTTTAGAGGATCGGAAGTTTGTTTGAATTGGCCGCACAATATGACACGCGTTCTGATTGGTTGGTAAATCCTCAACAAATCACACACACACACAACCCGCAGGAGTAAAAACTGCGGCAGTGACATTAAATTAAGCCGACTTTTCTCAGACACTTCATGGCGCCGAGGCAGCCATTGACTAATTTAAGCATTTCCTTCTAGTTTTCCCAACAAAATGCCCATTTATTAGTCGTGTGGTAGCTTTCCATTAAGTCCTAAGTAGCCCAATCACCCAGAATCCAATCACCACCACCCACAATCCGAGGGGAATCTTTGAATCGTCTACTCACTCCACCCCACCCCTGGAAATATTCGAGTAGTCGCCAGTGGTAATTAGTATGGCGCGCTGATTAAAATACAACTTAAAAGTGGCTCCCACCCCACACCGGTAAAGGCACATTAACTTTGGAAAAAGTACCCTACTTTTCGCCTACATTTCGGTTTGATTAGCATTGACATTATTACCAAAAGACAGAGGTATTTAAAAATGTAACTTGGTTGAGTTCAAATCAACATCTACAGCACTAACTACATGCACTGTATAGTAGGTTTGAAACAACGATGATTTGGACGCAAATACGATGCTTGATGGAGCTTTTTCAGCTAAGCAGGCCCAATATGATTGGTTATCGGGGTTCTAAAAAGTGCCATTTGATTGGTGAATGTTTGGTGCACTGTGAACTTATTGTTGAAAAACTTTTCTAGAACAAAATTAAACACCGACGATGGCTTTTCTGCATGCTGCTTTTTTAATTAAAAGCATCTGATCGCCTCAATTAAGCCGGCAAGGGAGGCTTGTGCTATTAGGTTAATGCAACACGCAGCAGTCACAAATGCGTGACCCCAGTAAGCGGGAATTTTATTTCGTCTTTTAATGTCCTGTTTGAAGACGAATCTGACCTCAAGAATTTGAGCAATTAAGAATTAATTTCCCTGTAGGTTTGTGTAAAAAAAGCCAAGCATTACGCGTTGAATTCAGCGGCAATAAAACAAACCAGCGTTAATGCGTTAATTTGGTGCCACCTACCGCTGGAGAGAGACAATCGCGCGACATCTCGCAAGCGGTTTTATCACACGGGTACCTTTCATAATTAAATCACTGATTAAACCAATCAACTTCCACCACCACGCATCTACACGGCCAATTTTAAGCCGCTATCACCTAATCCAATCATGGCGCATTCTCACGTACCTTTCGCGATAGCCACAGACAGGGATGGGCGCTGCCCCATTTTGAGTAGGGAGGAGTTCCACACCGCCTCCTCTAATTATCTGATTCTCCCTCTCTCTCTGTCACCGCGGTCCACTCCATTTAGCTGAAGCTGGTGCTGCTCTTTGGCGCACAGACGAGCCGGGGGTGTGATAGGGGTGGCGTAATTGGTGTGTGTGTGTGTGTGTTAAATCGAGTGGTGTGAGATTCGACGATCAGTTAAACCGGTGCTCTCTCTCTCGCGAACTTTAGTCCCCATGGTGTAATCACTAGATTCCATCTCCTCCTCCTCCCACTCCACCACCACCTCCACCTCCTACAACACTCAGCCTGCTTATGCAGGCAATTTCGAATTGTTAATTTTATGTTCTCGAATTAATGCAGTGCTAGAATAAGCGTGAATGCAAAGTAATGCAAATGAATGGGAATTTGGACAAGAAAAAAAGAGCGAATTTGTGGCCCCCGCTGAGGCTTTTCGAGAAGTTGTGATTGGTGGATATGCGGTAACCGGTGGCCACAGAATCCAATGACAATACGACAAGGCTGACACGACTTGAGCGCCATTTTCTGTGAGTAAAATCGATAATTGAAGTTTGAACTGAACTCAATCAATCCTTTTAAATGCAAGTTGATCTCGTAGCCAATCGTCACTAACCTGAGAAGGCGTCCTTGGTTTTGTAGAAAAAAAGATTATGATGACGATGAAGGGCTAATCGCCCACTGCAATTTCGGATGACGCTTCTAATTTTGTCGACAAAATACGTCTGAATTTAACGTGTGGTTGCTTGAAAGTACTTCAGAGAACAAAATGTCCATCCGAACTTACCTCAAAACTTGTCGTTTGATTAAAACAATTGACCCCCAATCAATGCGATTTGTATTTGGTCATCACGAACCGTCACTACGGCCCTCTTTCATTGGTGGCATTAATGACATTGAATTATTCCTGATCAGTAATTGGTTTATTTAAGATAGGCGCAATTTCACTATGTTTAATTTGCATTCCGCTTAAAGCGATTTTTCGACTTGGATGAATTTCACTCATTTCATGGTGTCAGTGATTTCCGTATGTCATTGTAGATCAGTCTAGATCATTATCTTCATTAACTGGTCATTTGCTAACTCTACGTGAAACTTTAAAAGGACCTTTTTTACCAATTTAGGCATGTGCGTTTGTTGAGTAGTCAGTACCACAAACAGCATTGCCACCTTTAAGAGCCTCAAAAATTTGCTCGTTTTAGCGGAGAATGAACAGTAAACCAAGCAAGAAAATCTTATTTTGAGTTTGCTGCTACTCCTAAATCATCAACATTGGTAAAAATTTCATCGATAGAACTCATTTCCCAACCAATGCGTTCTTTTATCATTTTGTTTTCATCTGACGACCATTTGTTTGAGAATTTATCTTTTACATAATTCTGGAATAGTAAAAATTTCCTTTGAAATGCATTGCCTCTGTTGTTCATTCACAAAGCAAATTTTGGCGCCAAAATTCTAATCCACACATGGAGGTGGCGTTTAATTGGTAGATGGGCCGACGCAGCTAGCCAATCAGAGATACACCAACCACCAAACACCAATGGGAGTTCACCTGCTCACGCGGGCACGCGTAATTCGTTACCCCCTTCCCCCTGTTAGCACCTTCCTCCCTCTCTGCGCTGAGTATGAATTCACCTCAATGCCATCTGGCCGACCACATCGCGTACCACACCTACAGCCTCCACACGAGCATGCTCAACTACTCAGACGAGAGCCACAACTCACAAAGTGGAACACCTCAGACACAGCCCACCGACTACTCACTGAGCACGGCCAACGTCGCGACCAATCACCACAGCCTGCTGCCCTGGTTCGGTGACGCATATCCACGACAGGCACCTCCGAGTCCCAGTCTATCGGACACCGCAACTTCCTACCACGTAAAACGCCCCATGAACGCCTTCATGGTGTGGTCTCGTGGCCAGCGCAGGAAAATGGCCCACGCCAACCCCAAGATGCACAACTCGGAGATTAGCAAACGCCTCGGTGTCGAGTGGAAGCACCTCTCGGAGGCGGAGAAGCGACCGTTTATTGACGAAGCCAAACGTCTCAGGGCCAACCACATGAAGGAACACCCCGACTACAAGTATCGGCCCAAACGCAAGTCAAAAGCCGCGATTATGATGGCCATGGCTAGCAGTAGAGAGCGTTTTCACACAACTTTTCCGCCACACGGGCTTCTTCCTGGTGAGTTTCTGTAATTGCGCATCCCAATGTCGTGTCGAAGTTCCGGAGAACGAAAAATGAGCGCTTTTTTAAGGGACAATAATTTGGGTTGCTAGAATTAGTGATGGCATGAAGGTCTTGGGAGGAATTGTGACAGGTCTCCCGTGGGACACAGGCTGTAACCAGAAGAGTGAGCTATTTTGTTTTGTTTAGGATTCCCACCATTCAGTGGAATCTACGCCAACGCCTTCACCAACCCCTTCACCCCGATTCTTCCAATATTACCACCACCGCCGCCACCACTTCCATTATCGACAGCATCAGCTATGACGTCGGCGACATCGGAGCCGCTAGTGATGAATTTGATGCGAGTGGCATCGTCCGACACTCCAGGGAATTCCTTTACACCAACTGTCCGTCAGGAAGAGGGCTTATCCAAGACATCCTCGTCAGCATCATCACCACCACCACCCCCAGCACATCAGACACCCTCAGCCTCGACCTTGGCCTTCAGTGCCGACTCGCTGATTGAACCGCTGCCGTCGAAACCGCAGGCGCTTTTCTCTCCTCCAACCAATCACATCGATCTTCTCAAACCGCTCCATGCCGCCTTCCTCTGTGGTGGTGGCGGTGGTGGTGAAGGAGACGACGCGAGAATCCTCTGGTTCAAGTACCTCACCACCGCTGCCGCCATCTTCTCGAATCTGCGCGGCAACGCAATCGACGAGGCGGTCGGTGGAATGGTTGACGGCCAGAATCCTGATAGTCAGGCAATACAGAAGGGGTTGTAAGTGCCGATCGGTTGGTGGCCATCTTTGTGATTTTTCTCTTCTTCTTTATCTCTCGACTTTGAACCCCTCGTTCACGGTGTAAATACTACTAATAAACATTCTACAGCGGCCCAGAAAGTGTTTATTTTCATTGTGCAACTGCTAGAAGTTGGCGGCAAGAACTGCACTATACAAATAAAACAACGTTGTAGGCACGTGTTGCTGTTCTGTTTTCCATGGAAGCTAGAAAGTTGTTCGCGCTCACAAGCAGAATCGTTCACAGTTAAGCAAGGTTGTTCGTCCGATCCAACGGTGGCGATGACCTAGACAAAGCCACAAGCCCATTGGATAACTGTGCGCGAAATCACACTTAACCGATTTCTATGTAATGAACTCGTTTAAATACCTCGGTTCTAGGGTTCAACGTTTATCGAAGGAGATTCATTAAACACAATACGATCTTTCTGTTGATTTGATTGTGGGATTGCTTGCAACTTTAAAGAATCACACTTTAGTTTCACATGTGTTATGTCAACAGGCGCCGATCTAGTTGAATTGGGAATCATTCAACGAAAGACCGCAAGGAAATTGCAGTCCAGGATATAACGGTTTACATTAATGTCGTTGAGTGACACAACCTTTACTAGTGATGATTGCTAATGGTTCAAATTTTGTCCGAATAAGTTTAAAAGGAGAGGCTTTTTGTCCGCGACCATGCTCAGGAGTTAACATCTACCACCAGATTCCTCCCAGCATTCAACAGATGGATAGAGTTAGATTTGCTAATCGCAATCTCGCACAAGCCATTAGCGGCCGCAACTACCGTGCCGCGGTTGTGTTCCATTACCCTAATTGACGGGTTCCCCACCTCCCTTCCCCCGCAAACCACCGCATTTCTCCAGAGGACCTCTCCCAGCAACCAATCAACCCCCCCACCTGTTACTGGGGTCCCCGACCGACTCGTGGAGACGACCGCAGTCACCAACGTTGTGCACCCATTAACCGCCTTGTTTAAGCACAATCTCGCGTATGTATCTCCTTACCACCACCCCTCCCCTCCCCCGCCTCCCCCACCCTAATCCCACTAATGCACAGATTTCTTTCATCTAAGTTTTTGAGGTGGTTGGGAGGGTGAAGCTGAATAATGCGCTGAATACGCATTTCGAGCATGTGCACGCATCGGCCGATGAAAGCACTGCGATAACGAAGGCCAGTTGTGTTCGTAAAAGGGTGAGGTGGGGATTGACAATGGGGACAATTGCTGCAGCTACTGTTGTTCCAGCATCGAGTGAGTCTATTAATGCGTTGACCAAAGCGCATACGAGCTTATCTGATGCGGCTCCGTGTGCGTGCATGCGTGCGTACGTGCGCGCGTGTGTGCGCGTGAATGCAATTTGCTCGAACCGATTGTTTGAGATGTCTATAAAATGAAGGACTTAAGTTCCAGTGTGGTTGGACAATGCGACGTAGTTTGTGCCTAACAGCGCACTTACCTTTCAACTCTGTCGTAAGACAGGCGGATGGCGCAGTGTGCACTCCACTTGGTTAAAATATTTCCGGTGTGGCAGAAATTGACGCGACCTCCTCGAAATCGACAGTGGCAGCCGAAAGTGAACACTGCTCACAACGATTTGACCTGAGTAAACAAGTATTGATTTTGTCTTGTTTAAGTGAATCAACTGGCGAAGGGTCTCGGCCTTCTGGCAGGGCGTTATTTTGAAAGCAGGAAATAGCTAACACGCACACACACGCTCTTTTAGCTAAATCGGCTTTTATTGCGTTGATCAGCACATGATAAGGAATTCCAAACAGGCTGGCGTCTTTGCGTTTCTGCTACCACCATCGCCTATCGGCGTCAAAATCTTTCCAGTCTGATTATCAAGTAAGAGAATGACAATGCATTAGACCGCCAACACCACCAACACCAAATAAAGTGGTCGCCGTAGATAGCCCTCTCTCACACACACATATACTCAAATCCGCCAATCGTCACCACTTACACCCCACCCTCCCCCCGCACACCCCTTTTCTTTTATACACTCGAGAAAAGGACATAGTAAACAGATTGTGGGGTGTTGGCAGGGCCGGGTGGGAGGGAGGGGTGACAGGGAGACAGCTAGAATGCAAGCCTTATCGGTATCTTATCTTTCCGACTAAGCGAACGAAGGGGGGTGGGGTGGCGGGCCAGGGAAGGGGTTAAAGTGAGTTGTTTTGCGTGTGAGGTGGTTGTACGTGTGCCTTACACGCTCTCTCCCTCCGTGTGTCCACTCTGTCTAGTCCATTTTGAATGCACCACGAGTTTGATTGAGGCTGTAGACATCCACACGCACGCACGCACGCACACATACCCACAACGCTCTAGTGATGGTTTTAGGGGTCTTGGCGACTTGCCTTCAACAAATTTATCTTCGCGTTAGCATTTATTTCGAAATGAGCGAGAGAGAGAGAGTATGGAAAATGGTGAGGTTTCATGTCAAATTAAGACTTGGTTATCCAGCTATAAGAGAAAGTGGTTCCAACGAATCAGAAATACTCTGCTCTAATTTACACAGAATCTTCTTCAATTTTAAGCGCCCAATTCACTTGAGTGGTTTATTTTCGTTGTCTGCATGCAAAAGGGTCCCGACAGTGGGCTTAACTTAAAATTCGGCTCCATTTTGATTTAAAAGTTGCTTGAAACTGGTCGTAATTAATAAAAGCATGGAGAGGTTAACCAATATCACCTCATCGGATGACCTAATCAAACACGAGCTTTGTATTTCTCTCAGCCAATCATCTTCAGAGGACGAGTAAGATCGAATCGTTAGTTGCTTTTCACCTATTAGAAACCAATTTTAATTTTAACGCTTCGGGTATGTGACCGTCTCATTTCTGTTGATTGTAATTTGGCAAATGAGATATCGTGATTGGAAGCCAACGTTATGCTTGGATTGATCGATTTCTGATTTGTGCTGGCTTCGTTGCAGTCTAGTTGTTCGTTAACACCCACGAAAATCGTTTTAAAGCCAACTTTTGGGATGGTACAATCAAAAACACGATGCATAAACGCTCCACAAGCCTTTCTACAACACAAGTACGTCTTAAACCCTAGCATTTGGTGTCAGACGAGGAGTGTCAGAGGCTGGACCAATTAAAAGGGAATGGAGAACAAGGAACTGATTGGAGGAGAACCCCCAGCACAAGGTCACCAACCACCCAATCATATGCATCCCAGACAGATTTGCTAGAGGAAGAAGTTGGGTCTAGCATTCACCAAAATCCTCCACGAACGTTTCAATGTGATTGCAAGCTGTTGAATTCCACACTCCCCTGGAGGGATTGCCACCAGTGGGTGTAAAGACGAGGCGAGATAGGCATGGGTGATTGAGCGTGTTCCTGAACTATAAATGGGTTCTCTCCCAAGGCCATTAATGCATTCACAGCAGTCGTTATGGTTACGCATAAATCCAACCCTATCGATTCTCTGCATTGTCGATTAAAACACTCTTCTAGTCAAAATTGATGGCGGGACTTCCTACACCGGAACTCTTTTTACTCGTTAAAGTCAACGTGAACTATTCTGGAAACTCTTGCAGCCCAAAATGCGTTTACTTTAGCACAATTTCCTCCTGAGTTATTCTAATTTGAGTAGACTCTCTGGTCAGGGAGTTGTGTGCCATCCACGTAATGTACTAAATGCGAGTCTCCAACATGCGGCACCTTCCTGATTTCATTTACAGGCATCTAAAATTGTGACAAGAAGGTGGAATGTGTCGGAAAAAGGGATCTGCGCCGATGGCAGCTTCGGTAGACACTTGGAACCAGGTTCGAACATGTTACGTTTGCCCGTAACAAAGAGGAAACCACTCAAATAACGGTACCACATCCCTTGCTGAAGCTAGAACCGACCTTCCCAGGCTAATACAAGAACAAGACCAGAGCTCGTGTAGAGAGCTTTATTGACGTCTGCCACGTGCATAGCGCAGTCCGGAAGTCGAAACTAATTCAAGTCAGGGTTGACCTTGACCAGATAAAGGCGTAGCAAAACAAATGTTAGTGAATAAATGTAAATAGCATCAGAAACCAATCTTGGGGAATCGTGGATCCCCAACAGAAAACCCGCCAAGAATCCCGAATTCGCAAATCATGTGACGAATCCCCCCCACAGGTTCGACTCATGCAGGATGCCAAGTAAACGCGTGAAGTGTTCCGTTGTATAACAAAGATTTAACACACCAAGCCACGCAAACCGTCAGTTGTCTGGTGATGCGTCTATGCTGCGAAATTTTGGCATTTTGTACTAGGTGGAGCTCGCTTAAATTAAACACAACACTTCGGCGGTACAACCAGATGCGGAGCTAACAAATTGACGAAATTAAGACATGACGTCTGGATGCCAGTCACACTGGGAACTCAACCAAAGTGCAGCAGTGGAAAACGAAGTGCTTTTGAGATTCCCTACAAGCCCATTTGACTTGACCCCATGTGTCTTCAAATTGCAGGGCCTATGTGTGCGTGGAAGGACCCAAGAAGAGAAGAGATACAGTTCCAAAGACAACCAGACGTGGAATGCTGAAGCTAGTGCGGCAGCATCTCAACTACTGAATTCTGAAAATGCACTAAACAGTTGTAATGAGCTTGGAGTGCTTGAAATTGGTACAAACTCCTTCCGCAGGTCGTAAATAATGCTGATGTCTGAGAACCTAGACAAGGCTCCAATCCGATTGGATCGTGCTCTCATAACTGTCCAATGAACTGCGAAGACGATACGTGCATAATGCACACTACAAACAAAAGTAGAAATTCACCTAACAGCCAATCAGAAATCGTGGTGAGTATTTACATCAGGTACAATGAAATTGTCCACTTTCTACAATGTCTCATCGCTTTTGGAACAAAAAATGCGAATATGTTTAATGAACTAATAGAGAACCACATCAAAAATTCCAGTGGGGGTTCAATGTTATTATGGAGATCGAACTAGGGATCGCTGGTTAATTGCAAAATCGCAATGAAGAGAATGAGCGATTTGAGATGGCGTGGTGAGGCTGCGTTTTGCCGCGATTAAAGAGGCCGATTGAAAAGCGTGTGGTGGTTAGGGTAAGGACGTTTTTTTATTGAAAAAACAATGAAATCATGAGATTCCCTAACCATCTTCCATTTAGGCGTTTTGTTACGGTGTTCGTGCAAAACCCATTCAATTAATGGTTTCTAGAACAGTGAAAACCACCAAGTGATCAAAGAACGTTAACGAAATACGTCGGAGAATGAATAAGAGGTGTTTCGTGTGAGGTTTAAAGCAAAACTAATGTGTTTGCGATGATACTGCTCTCACACCACCCCCGCCTCCTCCACAATCACCCCCTAGACGACCACAGCTTCCTCTTCCACCGCACCTAGCATTACAACCAACTCTAACCCCTCTTTCAGCGCAAACAAAACCACCATCACCTTAACCGCAACAATAATTACCGTTCTTACCACCACCATCACTACATGTCTTTACTGCCGCCACCACAAATATAGCCCCCTTCTCTACCACCACCACCACCACCACCACCACCACCACCACCACCACCACCACCACCACCACCACCACCA